GAATAAACCAGCAAAGTATGCAACTGGGTTTTGTGTTCATACAGTTATTTTTGTTCTGAAACAGAAGCCTTGCCTAGGTAAGAAAAACCACATCAACCGAAGCTGTGAATTTAATCAAATATAATAAAATGGATGCTACCCCTTTTCAGAACATACTGATTTTGAGTAATTTTTTTACTGGCTAGATTAAATCAGTTTGGTTTAAAATGCAGCAAGCTACTCTGGAAGCAAACTAAGTACCCTATCAGCTTTGCACGAACACAGCCGTGCTTATTTAGAAAATAGTTTAAAAGTACTTTGCTCAGTAGGCATGACCTACATCCGTGGACAGCCACATGGAAGTCAGTTAACCCACCTTCTCCCTGACTTCACACCTGTGAGGCTGAGATAAGTTAACGTCCCGCATTGCGCAGTTAATTGTAAAGCACTTTGAAGGTAAGCGCTGTGTTAGCACCAAGCCTTAACTGCTAAGTCAGGTCTAACTTCAGGAGCAAAACACAGACCAGCACTAAATCCTCTTCCTTCTCTCTAGATGAGAGCTACCCATGCTTCAACATGCGCCGAGCGTTTTACAGTTGGCCCCATCTCACCATGTTGGGCTGCCATCCTTCCACGTTGACACAGCGATCGATGCACCACCAGAAGTCGTCTTCGGATTCTCCCTTCCAGGCGAAGACAGGGAACCCTGGCACAGAGAGGGAGATGGGTGCTAACACAGCCTTAGCAAATCCCATGGGCATCGGCTCTCCCTACATCCACGCATGATGAAGCGGGCTCCCAACACCGCTGCCGTCTTGCTTCCAGCCTGATGTTTCAACATCTACCTTCTAGAAGAAGCTTCAGAGATATACATTGGAGACACGTACTGAAGGCAGCAGAGGGGAGTCAACTTTAGCCTTAATTTCTTTGTCTCCCCCAAGAAAAAGCTCTAGCCACCACACAAGCGGGCAACACACTCTCAACGATAACATTTATTTGCACAATCAAGCTTTCACTGCGAGTTAGATGCCCTACCTTCCTGTTAGGCACGTTAGCCACAAATTTACTTGAATGTACCCTGACTCATGAGCAATTACCATTCAGCTTCAGCGAGGAAGACCACGTAACAGGCACGCCGGTGGGTTTGGCTTCTTTTGGGTCTCCCAGCTCTCACGGTAAACTCCCTGGCCTTACCCAGGTAAAACAGTGTTTGGATTAAGGCATCTCTCAGTTGAGCAGCCAGATGGACAGCTTCTGTTCTGTGAATTATGTCACCCCAGAATTCTCTCTTTCACCTCTTTTAGCCAAAGTTATGACAAATTTATAGAACTGAAATCAAATTCAGCTTAGTTTCTTTTAGCAAAGTAACTTTCAGGTTCACACAGCCCTGACGCCTAATAATGCGTGCCACCATCAGTTGTGCTACGTACTTTTATACTCCACAGAAAAATCATTCTGAGATTTTCAGACCAATGGAAGGGATTGAGCTTGTGCTGTTTACCTCCTAGAGGTTTATTCTAAATGGAAAAGAATGAGGGAAAAAAACTAAAAGAATGGTAAATGAGCTAAATATGATGGGACCATAAGAAATCTTTTTAAAACCAGAAAGAGCAAAGGGGGTGAAGTTTCCTACCGCTCTCAGCAAGGGCAGCAGCCACTTCATTAAGAGTAGAGTAGATGTTGCACGCAGCCCATCGGCACTGCGCACCCAATGCACCAAGAGTCTCCATTAGGACCTGGATTTAAACAAAAAGAAATCAGAAAGAGCAACGCAAAGAGCAATACACAACGGGGATTTTTATTTGCTTTTTATGGGAAAGCTGCTGGGGGACATCTGAAGTTGGTTTTAAGCAGCATCAGGGTCGTTAGAGAGTTGCACAGAAAACAATTTTGCAATTATTTTTTTTTTTTTACAATTTAAAATGGATGAGGTAAATAAGAACTTCAAGGTATATTCTATCGGCAGCATATATGTGTGTGTGGATGTATATAAATTATATACACACACGCGGATTTCACTCAGCAAGGTCCCAAATCTAGTTAGGAGAAAGCACTCCTGCCCCACGTGTGGAGGAGAAATCACAGCTCTTGGATTGCACAACTGCCCTGATCACTGACCACCACTGATACCATACAGATAATTCAAATTCCTTCATTATCACTACTCAAGCAATGCCTTATAGACACGCGCATCGTGTCACCTTGAAGCACAGGCTCCGTTTATCTAGAAATGTCCATAAAATCGACCATTCTCTCTTTACTTGGTGTATGGTGCTGGAATCAGAGACTGCATCTCTGTATTAACCGCTCGGGGTCTATTTTGGAGGCTAAGCAGTGGAAAATCCCTGTCTGGAGTTTACTGATGGGGTCTTACAGCTGTCTGCGCTGTAATGTGCGTGCAGCCCACGATCTTGGCCCCGGCCAGTGGCTTCTCTCCCTGAGCTCTCTTCCTCAAAGCCATCAGCGCAGGCATTTCTGAAAGGCAAAATGAAAAAAGAAGTGCATCAACACGATGGAAAGAGGGATGAGCACAAGAAGAAAGAGCTGGCATCACTTTTGCCCTGCTATCTCGTACGCTTCTGAACTTGTAGAGCTGTGGCAGCTTCAAAAAAAAAGCAAAAACCTTCAGAGCAGGGATCAGATAAGTCATGGCACAGATGAAAAGAACCCAATAACCCTCTGAGGTCTTTCCCTGCTATTTAGGCTATAGCATCATCACATTTCCAAATTTCTACCTGCAAATGCCCAGGTGAGGCTGGAGGAAAATCTGCTTCAGACTGTGAAGGACTTGGGACGCGTTGCTCTGATCAGCCTCCCCAATATCCCTCCCACTACCTAAACACTGCATCGCCTTTGCCATGGGGTTTTGGAGACAATCATGGTAAGCCAAAGTTCTCTAATTTATTTGATGGATTTCATCCCTTCTACTGATTTTAACAAAATGCATTTGACTATAGAGTCAGTCAACCAACTACCTCAGTAGTCGGTTGGTTGGAGCTACACAGCATAACCCTGTAACTCCTTTCCAGCCCACAAAATCCCATAAAAGTTTTCCCTCTCTAACGGGAACAGTGTCAAGAAACCACCGATATACTGAACCTTGCAAGAAGAGGATTTGGGGGAAGGAAGAACCCCACAAGACAGCCTAGGACAACGTAGAGCTTGAGGAACGTGCCCCATTTACCTTGTTCAGCAATTTCAATCTCTCGGCGCCCAAATTCTGCCTGCTTTATGTTTTTCACACAGAAATCGCTGCTGCCTTTGGAGTTCTTCTGCTGCTTGTCTCGGGGGGAGGTCTCATCATCAGAGCTGTCTGTGTAGGAGGCAGCTGGAGGAAGAAAAGGAGGTCAGAAACAGAACAAAATATTCCCTAAAGCCAAACCACCTGCAGTAGAAGGGTGCAGATGATCTGCTGGATGTGTCCATGAACGTGCTTCTCCATGTGCACGTGCCAATGGTTTCCATCCTCACCCGGGATCTCCTCTTCTCCTTACAATGACCATTTCCCCACAGTCAGCTTTTACCTGCAGTGACCTCCTCGCCCTCATCTATCTCTACAGTAACACCACACCAGAGAGAATTAGCTCGAGCACTGTCCGTGGCCCCCGTGGGCTCATCTCCTCATGCTTCGCAGCTCCTCTGTGGCCTTCTCCCACCTCTCTTCCCAAATGTTAAGCCTTTACAGTTCTAAAATAGCCAATAAAAATGCCTGTTCATGTTTTCAGTGCTTGCAAAACATTGAGAGTTGCAATTTAAGACAGGATAGATACAAGACCCTATTTCATTTTAAACAATGGCATGGAAGAGCCTGATAGTTTATTATTATTATTCAGTCGTGGTGGTATTTCGAGGTCGTGGATTTGCTCAATTTCAGCATTCCTCAATAAGGGCAGTGGCCACAAACTGCTGCCTGGGAGGCTCACGTGGAATGGTAAGAAGAAACATCTTCATCAGGAGGACAACGCAACATTGCCACAGGTTACCCGCAGAGGTGGTGGATCTCCATCCTTGGAGGACGTCAGGAACTGGTTAGAGTCATGGCTCACCTGGTCCTGTGCTGGCAATGTCCTGCTCTGAGTGGGCACGGGGGCAAGAAGACCTTGGTGATTCCTTCCAACCAACATCTCTGTACATCTACAGACAGCTCAATCCAGCCCTTGCATCTTCCCCTTCTTTTGTACCTTAAATAACAGACACTTGGAGATGTATTTAATATTTTGCCTTTCTGGATCTTCTGTAACTCCTCCTCTCCCTTGCTCTTTTGGTAAGAGAAGAGGAAGAAAGATGGTACCACTTCTCTCCGTAGCAAGGAGCCTACAGGGGACAGCAAACATACGGTCTCACAGAATCAGATTATGCTTGTTGTTCAAGACAATATATGGGTACCGGGCGTGGATGAGCACGAGGACACGACATTACTTACAGTTGCTGTCAGTAACTGTCTTCCCTTCCTATCAATGCCCTCCAAACTTCCGCTTAGGCAACTAGTCCATGGCAGGCACACGGAGATTTACTAAAGAGCTTTTCATGGAGCTAGAAATCCCCCTTCCCTTTTATTTTGATTACTAAAATCACATGTACAGTCCATTTTTGATTTGAGCCACGATGAAGTAGCCACCACTTCTGCTTCCAGCTTATCAGGATCAGCTGAAGAGACTATTTGTGCCATGTTTTCCTCTGGAATATGCCCCCATGTGGAAGACCAGACCTCTTTCATCTTCTAGGACTGGCATCAGCAGTCAAAGCAACACATAAGGCTTGGAGATGAACTAGAAAGCATCACACCTCTTTCTTTTCCTTTCCAGAAACAAAGCACCTGGAGCGTGGGGCTCTGGGTCCAGCTCAGCTCCTCGTACTACCCTTACCACTACCACCACCATCACCTCTTTCTCCTTCTTCCCCTCCTCTCTGGCACCTTGGCACCCAATTCAAAAACCTCACCACATGGTCATCCCCCATTCCTCATGAAATTGCCCTGAAGTTTTACTCCAAGTCTTTACTTTCCAGATCGTGCGGTCCTTCTAAAATGAACGTGAGATGTGGCACCAAATGATGTGTTACAGCAGAAGATGACCACCTTTGTAGAACAGCACCATCCACGACAGCCTCAGTGGAGTTGGCCAGTATTATGCATCGCTAGCAAATGATGTGCATGTGTGAAGGCAACACGTACAAAGATGAGCTCTCTCTTTCGTGACAGCAGAAAAGAATTGGTTGAATCTCTACCTAGGAAACGTTGCGTAGTCAAACTCAACAGCTACTGGCTTTGGGTGATGTGTCGCTGCGGGCATGAGCTACCTTTTCTCCCAGGCACAGTCTCCAGGAGGGAATGATCTACACCAAACACCTAAGAGAGATGTACTACCCAACAGTAGGTACAGATTCACAGAGTCACAGAATCATTACGGTTGGAAAAGACCTTCAAGATCATCAAGTCCCACCATCAACCCAACACCACCATGCCCACTAAACCATGTCCCGAAGTGCCACGTCTACACGTTTTTTGAACACCTCCAGTGATGGTGACTCCACCACCTCCCTGGGCAGCCTGTTCCAATGCTTGACTACTCTCTCCGTAAAGAAATTTTTCCTAACATCCAGTCTAAACCTCCCCTAGTGCAACTTGAGGCCATTTCCCAACTTTCTACCCCAATTCTGAGCCAAAGGAATTTGGAAGCAGAAAGGGTGAGCACTTCTTACACAGTGTCATAGGAAGAATGGCATGGCTGAACCCATGGTCTTACCACCACCTACCAGCACTCCCAAAAAGCTGCAGTTTTCAAGAAACATCCAGACCTCAAGTGAAGATTGATACCAAAAGCCTCTTCAGAGAACTTGGAGTAAAGGCAAACCACCCCTCTACCCAGCATTTCAATAGCTCTGGTAACATTTTCACGCCAGAAAACACCAGGTGGGTGGACTGTTTGGTGGATGAGGAAGTGGTTGGATGGTCGCATCCAGAGGGTGGTGGTCAATGGCTCGATGTCCCGATGGAGATTGGTGACAAGTAGTGTCCCTCAGGGGTCCGCCCCACATTGGGTGCCAAAAAGGACTGTTGTGGTTTAACCACAGCCAGCAACAAAGCCCCACAGAGCCACTCGCTCACTCCCCCCCGGTGGCATGGGGGGAGAGAACTGGAAGAGCAAAAGTGAGGAAACCCATGGGTCGAGATAAAGACAGTTTAACAAGTAAAGCAAAAGCCGTGCACACTAGCAGAGCAGAACAAGGAATCCATTCCCCACTCCCCATGGGCAGGCGGGAGTTCAGCCATCTCCAGGAGAGCAGGGCTGCATCACGCATAGTGGTGACTTGGGAAGACAAACACCATAAGTCTGAACGTCCCCCACTTCCCTCCTCCCCCACCTTTATACACTGAGTATGACGTTGTATGGTATGGAGTATCCCCTCAGCTGGCTCGGGCCAGCTGCCCTGGCCATGCCCCCCCAACCTCCTGCGCACCCCCAGCCTCCTCCCTGGCAGGGCAGCACGAGAAGCTCAACAGTCCTTGACTGCTCAGCAGCAACTGAAAACATCAGTGCGTTATCAACATTATTTTCATCCCAAATCCAAAACACAGCCTCATACGAGCTTCTATGAAGAAAATTAAGTGTATCCCAGCTGAAACCAGGATAAATATCTTCATCAATGACATAGACAGGCACCTCAGCAAGTTTGCAGATGTCACCAAGCTGAGTGGAGCGGTTGACATGCCTGAGGGACGGGATGCCATCCAGAGGGACCTGGACAAGCTCGAGGAATGGGCCCATGTGAACCTCATGAGGTTCAACAAGGCCAAGTGCCAGGTCCTATCCCTGGGTCAGGGCAACCCCCAGTATCAGCA